CTATATTTTGCAACATCACTAATTTCTCTACTTAACTACAACAAATGCTCCTCTTAACTTTTCTTTGGGCCAGAATGAGGAGAAGGGTATCTACTATAGGACTATAAACTTTATTTTTTATTTAATCTTTATTCTGTTCATAGATTCAGAAATATGCTGTTTTAAGAAAAATAGTATTTTTTTTTATGGTGGTATGCCGTGCAGGGCCTAAAAAAAACTTCTCACTCGCTCTATAACTCCCTCATGTCACAAATCTACTCTCAACAAGCAATTACTTCGTAATAGTTTTCTCTTTCTTCATTATGGAAACTCAGAATCAAGTGTCGTAGTGAGAGATCGGTGGGTTAGGGTTGTGGACTGTCCGCATTCGCAAATAAACCGGCTAGTAGACTATGGTACTTAAGCAAGACACGAAGGCTTTTTGTCAGTGTTTTCAAGCCGGAAGCATGTGGCCATGTGCCTAGAAGGTGTCCGGGCAGCCCGCTGCCCATGAATTAGGCTGCCGTAGTACGTAATTCTTTCGTCCGTCTTCCTACAAGTATCATACACGACGAAATTGCAGCGGTTAAGATGGCCTCGTGTCCGGGAAGTGCTTTCCCCAACCGTATTAAAATCATTACCGATTCACCGAGAGCATGAGCAGTATACTAGTAGGTTAAAAGCTTGAACTTGGTTCTCGAGGATTTTTATCGAGTGATCGAAGCGCGAATACCGATACCGATACCGGCAGTACACCGTGGTCGTCTGGGCTCCTTCATTTCGGGGCGAGATTAAGCCCACCGGAGTTTGTGCACAAAAAAGACTGTCGTATGGGGTCACTGTTCACACTCCTGTTTCCTGCTAAAAAAAAAAAGAGAGACGGAACAACATGCTTTTCTGTGGGGGGTCTGAAGAATAAAAATAAAATCTGTGGCGCCTTTCTGTTGGGAAATCGGTACAATATCCGCATTCCTACCTACCCACCGCAGTCACTTGTGATTTGCCCCATATTGAGTGTATTCGTACCTAGCAAGCCGATACGGGGGACAGATATTGGAGGAGGTAGTGGAGGAGATTATGAAGAGAGTTGAGATCGAAATGTTGGGATGGATGGTTGGCCTGACAGAGTTGATGCTATACAAGTAGTTAGTAGAGGTGTGGGCATCTGGATTTGCCAAGAACGGAAGCAGTTTAATCTAGGGCCCTTAATGAAACCTCTCTCACATATCATAAAACTGACCATTTGGAGTGGTCGCATAGGATATCATCGGGTGTTCAGGTTCATAATCGTTGGATGGGAAGGTAATGATTGGAAGCACGGAATTGTATTTACTCGTGCATTGCAACTGATAATGCGGGTCACGGAGGTGGGTATTTCCTTTCCGTAGGAACTTTCAGGAAGTGGAACATTGTGGAATCCCCGATACGATTGGAGCTAAAAGCGGGGAAACGTGAGCTTAGAAATTATCTTTGAGCGATAATGATGTGGATAAAGCAAGGAAGGGCTCCGCCCATACAAAAAAAACAGCCGTAAGCGACTTACAGGTGCCGGTATACTAGCTCCCGTGAACCCCCAATATGGACAGAAACTCCAAATAAAGCCAAGTGAAAAAAAAAGCCGCCCCAAAATCATGAACAAGCCCCATACACCCCCCACCGAGTCTGGAACCAAACAGTGACTGTTTGGATCCTAGCTTCGGATACACCCCACTGTATCCTCAACCGCTCCATATCGCCAATAATGGCAGATTGCCTCACCAGATGCTTCCCCTCTTGTATCTGTCTCATCAGCTCCGAAAATATTTGGCGGAGCTGATGTATTTGAACGCTATTATTGGTAATAGCGCGAGAGACCCGATCGGCATCGGAATTCCTTGAGTCTTTCCTTAGGGTCTCCAAGGAGCGAAAGAATTTCGGGTTGGAGGGTAGTAAGCGAGAATCCACTCCGCGCAGGGCTGGAACGGAAGGGAGTTTGAGCGGAAAGCGACCAGAAGACGCTCAAGGAAGAAGCGGAGCTCTGCGGCCCCTTGGGCCAGATTGTTTTCCCCCGGTCTCGCTTTCCGAGATCTCCCATGGAGTCTCGCGGAGGCCGCAGGTCGGGGGATCTCCAAGACCCAGGAGACGTGGGAATTTATAATAATTCCCCGTGGTGCTCGAAAATGGCAGCATAGAGTTCTGCCCTCGAGACGTTGCCCTCAAGCACCATCGTGTGATGAGGCCAATGAAAGATTTAAAAGGGTTTTGGGAGATAGGAAGAGAGGTAAAAATTTTGGGATAAATCTTTGCTAGGTAGACGGAATTTTCTCGGCGGATGGGGATTTGTGTGGGAGGGAACAAACCAAGAGTGCTGGGAGGGCAGTGGGCCTTTATAAGTACACGCTTCCGGCTGGGAAAGTTTGTCTTGGTATGGACAAACAGGTGTCATTAAGCTAGTGCAGGACCTACGAGCTAATAACGGTATCGAGGGGGGGGGCACACTACTTGTGAACTATCTCAATCGCTTAAGGTCGATCGGGAACACAGATGAAGTCAAGATTTTCTCATCAATATTTATTACTGGTGGCTGGGTTTAACCCAGCCTTGAGTATTCCAGCATAGCGTGCTACTGTGGGTTTTAGACGTATTTGGTTCGATGATATCGTACCCGGTGCAAACCACCGAAACAATAGGCTTGCCAGCAGCAGTAGTCGCATCTATACCTATTAAGGCAGGCGCAGTCTCTTCCCAATCTAGTGCCTGTCAAACACGCCTCAAGTCGGCTAGGTCCAGCAGCTGTAGCAAGATATTGCATAGAGTCATCAAATATCACTCGTTCTTTCTGCTTGGCTGATTCTGTGAATTGATATGACTGCGGACGAGAAAAGAAGCTTGATTTTCTTACCACCTGCGCAGCAGTGGGCTTTTATGCTAACTAACTATCAAGTGGGGGAAAAGAAATAACAAAAGCCCGAGGTCGGTAACATGAGGACCTCGGAGGAAAGAATCCGATGAAACCTCGGTGAGGAAGGAAAACATATGAGAACCTCGGAATACCATAGTTGAATATGGCATGGTTGTGCGGTTGTGGAACGAATAGGGAAGAGATGAAGAAAAACCCAAACAGTAACTAACGTTGAAGAGAGTGGTGAGGAAAGTACTAGGGGAAACTAACTAAAAAGGAAACTAGTCTGTTTGACGGATAAGCACTAAACTCAGCAGATTCTTTTCTTTGTTACCAGGAATAGGCCCTCAAAGGACTCTCAAGGGGGGGCTGTTGTCGAGTTTGGTCTTTTGGTGGATATGGTTACGCGGTTTTCAGGTCCCCCCCGGCCGTGGGTTCCTGGTTAAGTTAGGTCGGAAACTTTGTTGAGAGGAGAGGTGTTATGGCTGATACGTAATCAAAACATGAGAGGCTTTTTCTTCTTTCTTTTCCTTTCTTTGCACATATGCTCTGAGTTAGGTTGAGTGGGGTGGCGCTATGTCGAAAGGTGGAGGATGGCGGATGTGCTTATATTGGAGGAGAGTACAGTATAACACAGGTGCATCCTCCCCATGCTGGGGAAGAGGGCGAAGGAAATAGCAACCTCTTGATTAATAGGGCGACAGCTTTTCACTCGGTTATCATAGAGGGCATCTGGGCAGCACTGGTATATACGGGATCGCATTGCCAACGTTTGGGCAGATACCCGGAGGATTTGATTCACAACGCTAAGGCGGGCCAATGTGACACGATATCCTGTGGCTCAAGAGATTGAAGAATAAAGCTCTTTTCCTTATTGCTAACCTAACAGCCCCACAAGGTTTGGAAGGGGAAAAGCAGAATAACAAAGATCTGCCGTCCATACATCCAAGTTTTATCCTCTCCGGCATCTACTTATAAAGAAAAACAGTTCTGAGGATATTTTTTTACCGCCGGGCGAAGTTTGTTGCCTGCTGGTGGGTGTCGGGGTACCGGTATTACAGACCCCTTCGGCCCCAGGTTTTTTCACCTTCTCCAGAAATCTCCGTCCATTCAGTTTCCAAAAAGCGGTCAAAATATGTGCCGCGTTGAGCTGCCTCGTGGTTTGGTCCTCGCTGATTCTCCATAGATGTCTTTTTTTCTCTTCTATAGGGTTACTGTTTACTAGCGAGATACCGTTTTCCGTCAGTGGAATTCCGGAGAAAAGGTTGGCCAGTCCTTTGTTGCCCCACACAAGACGGATTGGGTCTCTCCTTCCATCTTCTCGGAAAACCTTTGCTAAAAGCCCAATGAGTTTATCTTCCCGCACCCCCCGGAAACCTCGAGCATTCAACCTGCCGCAGCCGAAAACCTAATCTGGGAATAAGCATACCACAACGTCCAAGTTGATATTAAGCGGAAGAGCAAACCTCTTGAGACTTCTGCCACAAATTCGCATATCCCTGTGGCCTAGGGAAAAAGGTCCCCATGTTGATAAGACATACAATGATTAAGGTGACGCTTCGCGGGCCTAAAGCGACCCCTTGGCCACACCCTCTCTCTATGTTTATAACCATCTCACAGAAGCTCAGACAAACTTTGGCCAAACATTCCTGATAGAGGAAGCGCTCCAGAACTGAGGGCGACCTATCCATCCCTTCCCATCTGTCGAAGTACAAACGATGCCAGGAATCGGGAACCAGAAGCTCATACGGCCGGATTAGGAAAATCTGAACTGGTTAGCATTGAATCCCGAATATGGATTGCTTGCTTACCAGAGATAGGGCCAATTCCTCGTAAAGAGAAATGATGGATGCTGAGTAAAAGGTCAATGCCTTTTTTCTCCTCCCCAGAGCGCCTAGGATGTCGGAAATATTCTCGCACTAAGCCAATGTTAACAAAACGACCACAAGGTGGATCGCTAGCCCAGGCATACAAATTTCCCGGGAAAATCCCCAGCTTCGGTCTCCGACAAGAACCGATGGACTAATGTTACAATTTCCGAACCATATTTGAAGGTCAGGTCCCCCCTGTCGATTATTCGGGATCTGTCCAGGAAGGCTGATCTCCACTGGTCTTTATACCCTGTTGCGCTTTAGAATACGGCGCTTCCGGCCTGCGAAAACCCCGGCGCACCACCACACATACCTAGAAATAGCGATGTTTGGTATTGAGACAAAAGTGAAGACACACAAGCCCCCACATCCATTCGAACAGATGACTCTATCCGATACTCTGTTGTGTTTTTCTCAATCAAAGTTGCGTATAATGCATGATGTCTTCCATCTTGAGTCACGAAATCGGACTTTATTTTAAACAGAACCTCAAGGCTCTGTTCGTGCGAGGATCTGAACTCCATTTTCTCCAGAAGAGCTGCTCCCCAAAATCTCCAATCCCCTGCGCTGCATCAGAAAAGAATATTTTTAGGTGGGTTAGAGCGGAAGGTCTCACAATTCGGCGGCAATAAATTCTTAGACCGTCTGTTGCCCTTGGTTATTGCAGAAAATTTTGAAAATATTTGGCAAAGGCGTGCCAGTAACTAGGAGGCAGTAAGTGAGTGTTCCCGAGGGCAGAATTTCAACGGACAGAACCTACCTCTACCTTCTCAGAATGGGTTTCCCCTTGAGTTATGTGTAAGCAAGGTATTATACTTCAGGAAGCTGGACTTTCTGGGATTGTTCCTACTTAGAGTCGGTGGGGGTGCGGATTTGCTTTTACTCCATATTGCCCGCAATCCCTCATCCAGTGAAACAAGGGAAGGAACGATATCCCCTAAAATATGCCCCAATATCCTCTCCCCCAGTGATCCAAAATCCACCGGCCTAAATAGGAGTTGTGGCTTAGATCCGTCGCTGGGCGGAGACCAGTCTAGGGCGATGTACTTTCCCGGTTGGCGAGGCATCTTGTAGATCCCACAGTAGAGTTGAGCTGAAGATGGTATTGTCCCATGTGAAGAGATTTTACTCAAATCTTCGAGCACGCGCTCGATATGATCAAAAGGAAGCCGGAATTCGTTGTTCGGATATGCGCTCCTGGTTACCTATAGGTGAGTTAGGGGCGAGAACCGCATAAACATCTCAAAGGAACAAACCAGAATATCCACATAGCCAGTAACCCCCTCTTCACAAAGTATTCTTGTCTCTACACTCGTCTTATACCGGTCAACGCTATGGACCGCTTGATTAATAACTTCCCAGCTTTCGATAAAAGAGTTGATCTGTCGGCTCTCTCTCTTGCTTGCTGCCCGTAGCACTTTATGGACCCGCACGCCTCCGGTACTTGGCCAAGGATTGGTTTCTATATTCTGCGCTTGCAGAAACTTGCACATCATTTTCAACTGTTCCCCCTGTCCCCAATTTGGATTTTTCAACAAGATTTGGTCACTAAGCAACTGAAACGATTTCTCCATGAGCGCAGAACTGATTCCAACATCGTCAGCCTCCACGTATCTCCTGTTAATGCTGAGCGAGTCGAAAAGTTTGTTCATCAGATGAAGTCTGGAGAATGCAATTTCTTGCTCCTCTGGAGATCCAGTAGGAATAAGAGCTCGTCTTCCGAACTCGTCGAGAGACGTATTGCTCTCTCTAACTTGCCTTAAGTAATAGAGGCGTATATACTGTTTCCAGCAGCAAGGCTCAATCTCTGACTTAAACCTGTTCTCAGCGGTCAGATAATTCCAAGGCCTCTTTGAGCTCCGGGGTTTAAACAAGAAAGGAGATCTGGTATAAACTTTTTAAGATAGTTGAACATCCATTTGGATTGTTTCCCACGAGCGTATCCTGCGAGCGCTCTTTCATGTTTGTGGAGTTTAGTGTATATCTCGCTTGTTTGTGAAAACAGGCCAACTTCTGCTCCAAGCCAGGCAGCATCTTCATATGCTCCATTATCGGCGAGAATCTCTGTATCGTTTAAGCATTCCAAATTTAAATCATTCCTTGGGATTTACTCACGAACTGCACCCGTTGGGTCCCTCCCTGCCTTTCTACACTGAACTGCCTTCGCGATGTTACCGACTTGTAGGAAGAGCTCTGATGCCTTTACGAAATGCAGATTTGCCACTTCGGATAACCCGCAATCTCTGTCGGTGAGTCCCTTTTCTTCTGCAATATATGCATTGGTCAGTGTAATGCCATTTGGATCCTCAGCATTCTCAAAGTAGTGGAGAGCCTAGAGGAGAGCTAATCAGCCTTCTTTTTTTTGAAAACATAACATAAGTTACCAACGAACTTCAGAATATTGGTGGTCGTCAATCATTTGATGCCCCATTTCCCTCCATAGGGAACCACTGATCGTCGTTCCTTTAGACAACAGCTTATGCAGTTGCGAAACCTAGGGATGTCAGAGTTGATAACCCAGTGGGGTTCAGGACATACCCCATTATCTTGTTCCGTTAAAATCTTTAGCAGTGACTGGTCTTCTGTTGGATTAAATAGGCGTTGAATTGGCTGTAAGACACGTCTGTTGCTTTCTAATATCAATAGTCGGTTTCGAGCTCTCGTCACTCCAACATATAAGTGCTTTTCGCCCCCGTAGAATTAGCGGGTGCGTTGAATCTAAAATAAGGAGCTAAACTACCTTCAATTCTGAGAAGAGGATCTGTGACATGGTTAGCATCTCTCCCACGATATAAGTCATTAGTTACCCACGTCATCTTGATATTCAGGCCTATGAATATCTTCTAAGATTCCTAGTTTATGGCTGTACACGCTAGTACTAAGGAAGTCGTAGAGTAAAACATCCTCGAACTCCATGCCCTTACTCTGGAGAATAGTTAATACTAATGAAGACCTTCCGAGCTCGGTTCGAAGCTTGTCCCGTGTTTCTTCATCTCGAACCAAAATAACACGCACTTCTCCATATTCAGTGGACCTGCCGTTCTGGGAATCCGAGTTCCGGGGGTTTTCCGCTTTCTCTTCGAACCTCAGTATATCCGTAATATTGTCTCCAACTTTAAAAATTAATACATAGGGTAACTACCGGTAAGTGTATGGAGGGGGTTACCATAAAGTATAGGTTTAGGACCGGAAATATCCCCAACTTCAGGAGGTAGTTTATCTACCAAGCTCGGAAAGCCTAAGCCGCTTCATAAGCATGACGCAAGGCAATGGGATATGTCGGAAAGCAGCGTACCTCTATACAAGAGGTCCATCACTAAGGAGGCCACTCTCAAAATCTGTTTATGCGATCTAAAGTTGTGCGATAATGGGAACAGTTCCGGCTTTATCTCTTCCTTCTTCCATGCCCTATCCATGAAGCGTTCATAAAACAGGGCTTTCGCATTTGGAAACCGGAAAAGAGCGTCTTTAGATATACACTGGGCAGTATCTCCTGCTGCTCACGGGTGAGAACTCAGAGTCAAGATAAAAAGGAAAAAGTAGAGAGAACCATACCAAAATGAACGCCCCAAGGATGGCCCACCAGGGTCAAAAGCATTCTTATATCTGACGTTCGCTGATCCTGGATTTCTGTATTCTTTTTAATGTCCCCCCCCCAAAGCTAGCATTTTTGCGGTAGATATTACTCACCATCCACATATACTTCGTCTAGCATGCTCCGAATCTTCTTTTCGAACACAACGTCTTCTGATACCCCCGAGGATTTGAATGCCTCCAAAGTCTTCGCAACCCTGAGAACCCTATCTACCTGATCAATGTCGCAACGTTTCTTCTTAACCTGTTCATACGATTCGTACAACTTATAAATATACCCTATCTCTCTCTCTGGGATAATACTGAGAGTTGTTTTCGGGCGACCCCCTGAGTATGCTTCCCAAGATAAAGGCTCGAAGTTTGTGGCTGGCGAAGCTGATCCCTTGATGACTCCCATGATTTCAAGAAATACTGAATCGACTGGAATAGCGCTCTTGGCTCCATGGTTCAGGCGTCTCCAGTACTCGATCTTAAACCTCCTAAAGTCAACAACGTCGGTGCATTTAGAGTTGTTTATCTTCATGTATCGTTTCCGGTTTTCCTGTTCTCTAAGGGTGGCTCAGTAGGTCGCCAGACAGTAACGGCTTTTCCGAAGTGGGGCAACAAACCTAATACTATTCTCAATAAGTCTTAACAAGTAATCAAAGGTGCATACAAGTGGGAAATCCGCATTGGTGAGTGACAAGAACTGCTTTCTTGTGTTGTCATCAAAATCGTCTTTGGCAAAATTACCCGCAGTTGGCCTTTCCTTTTCGCCCAATTTCGCCTCAAGCAGTCCGCGAGTGTTGGCTCTCAACTTCTCCACCAATCTCTTTGACTTTGTTAACAAGACCTATATTGTTAGCTTAGCCGACGTGACACCATCGGGGCATGATCCAATCCTAGACTTCATGCAAACACATACTTGTCTCAATGGCTCTTCCCTCTCCGATCTAGATAATAAATATCTCCCTACTAGCTTATAAACCAAGCAGGTAGTTTTTCCTGTCCCACTTCTCCCGAGAATGAACTTTGGGGGTAAATAGTGATCCACTACCCTGGCCTCCTCTGCCGATATGTCTACTGGGTATGCCACCTTTCTAGTTGTAGAAGTGATGTTATCCAGAACAGTCGTAGTGAGGCTATAAAATTTTGCTATTAACCGTGAATTTAGCACCCGTATGCGGGAATAGTTCATGTGGGATTATTTTGACTTCCTTACCCAGCTGCACTGAATCATCGAAATTCTCATCGCTAGTACCATCAACCCCTATATCATTGCTTTCTTCATCATCCAACGACGCCCTCACTGGATACCTGACCTCCCGTGACCCATCCAAGTCATCCCTGTTGCAAGCCCTCACTCGAGCTTTTGTATGGTGCATGCAGTCTATAATGTCAACCAGCGGCGTTTCAAAATGTAATGCCTTTTGTAATTAGGGTTTAGGTGATTTCTGCTTAATTTTACCAGATTGATTATGAGACTGAAGTTTGATGGAAGTTGAGTTATGCTCTACACCTTAAATAACCCTAACCCTGATTACATAAGGCATTACATTTTGAAACGCCGCTGGTTGACGTTATAGACTGCATGCACCATATAAACTTGCTGTGTCCGATGAATCTGGACAGCAATCTTACCGAGCTACTGCAACTTAGCATCACCCTATCTACATAATCCTAGGGCTAAATACGCACATTTTGGTGTTTTCCGATCGTCCATACTAAACCGTGGTCACTTTTCGTTAGTTCTCTACCTATGAAGCTAATTTCAAAGAGGTCTGACCTTTTATAACCTGGTAGTCTTCCTCAAACCTTTCATCAAAAGCGAGATCAATTTGCCATAATATAAAATGCCCGGTTTTGTAGAAAGCTTTGAATAAAGGGATTCGATAACTGAGTGAGTTGTGCCACTTTGCCTTATGCAGTATTTTTTTCCCCCCCCAGTCCCCGGAGGCAAGCTCTCGGAACTTGCGCTGAATACTCTCAAAGTTGTCTAACTAATATCAGCAATTTTCAAAGCGTTTGGTTCGGTGGAACAAATACCTTGAGCTCCCCCTGTTCCCAAATTCTCAATTGCATGTTGAGAAAGAATAACCTTCCACGGCCCCAGAGGTTCGCCTAATACCTGTTTAAAGATACCCAACCCCGATTCCAATCCGAAATAGTCGTCCCGGGGTCGCATATATTTCCCCTCAGGGTCCTGGCTAGCTCCAAAATCAAAAGAAATGATAGAAGGACAGAATTTGCAAGGAACAGTGCGAATAAATTTCGCCAACTCCAGGCCGCTGGATCTCCTGGGCCCTGACCTGTGAACTTCACATCCCTTGTAGAGATCCTTAATAAATTTAACCCACTGCTCCCCGGCCTGGGGTTCGGAAATGAGGTCTTCAAAGCACTGATTGTGTGTTTTTGCTAGCTCTTGTATATGGCCCTCCGAAATCAAAACCCCCAATATCCCCGGGAGAGCTCCTAATCTCACACCAAAATTGCCTAGAGTCCTCGGATGCGGTAATTTTACCACCGAGATGACAATTTTTGCGGCCGCCCTCCTAGATTTCATGTCATCGAACTTTTCGGCGATTAATGAGAGAGCAAATGCTCTAATCGTTTCTTGAAGTAACAATGAGCTGTAACCATCTTTCTGGAAGCTAGGAAATTGGTTTAACAGGTAGGCAAGATTATTTCCATAAATCTCTATTCGTGAGAAGAAATTTGTGAAACGTTCTTCCCTCAAGAGGATGTCAAAGATCTGGTAAGGTTCGGACTCCAGTGATGCATACGCGGCTTTGCAAAAATGCTTCGGATTTTCTGAAAATATGAAGTCAAAGAATCCAGTGCTTGAATCCATCGCTCGGTAGATTAGGTTTGAAAAACCACCGCCAGGGGAAGGAACTTGTGAGGTGAGTGGGCTGTTGTTAGGGGCAAAGGTAGTTTGTGGGGAGAATAAATCTCTAGCCACCCCGCCGTTTCTGTCCCCCCCTGTTCCTGTTAGCACACTCAATGCTGGTCTTAAGGCCCCCCATTTTTTTCCCGCCTCACCCCCCCCCCAACCCGCGTCCCCCAGCGCAGGCGACGCAGGCCACCAGAAAGGTGCGCCGTGCCACCACACTCGATACCGGTATACCAATACGAGTACTCGATAAGAGAGCAAAGCCCCCACGGGCGCAGTGCTCGTGCTGATCCCATTTTTGCTAATGGCATGCATTTCGCTCTCGGGACAGGGGTTAGGTTCTCCGATTTTAATGGACACACCCGAGCACAGCAAAAATCTACTAACACAAACTCCTGAGGCCCGACAAAACTGTAGAATTCCTGCGCACGAATAAGTTTACACTGTCACGGTAGTGCCACCTGAGTATGGCGAGGGACACCTGTAGTTGTAGTAGGAGCAGGGTAGACGTCAAGCAGCAGGTCGCGACCAAGGTAACTAAATACCTTAAACCTGGCGATGGAGGCTTTACCCTTGGCGCGGTTGCTGATGGGATAACTCTGTGGACCGGCTCACGGAACTCTCCAGTACCATGACGGAGCAGACACATTTATCGGGGGTACTCGTTCAGGATGGTACCGACCGATGGTAGCCGGTGGAATTGGGTATGGGGCAAGGGGAATCAATTCTCAAATGGATTCCGGTGGGGTACGGGCGATTCCCAATAGGGTATTACCCATCAGATCACCTTGCATCCCGTACCGTAAGTGTTGTCTTTGTTTCCATATTGGTCGCATTTCCTCCATCCTTTTTTATAGCCAAATTATGTGCAGAAAATCTGGTGTTTATATGGGGCATGTCGCGTATGACTACCGTATTTTAACCACTGTGATAGGCAGAGTACCTATTCCACGATATCCTCTCCAAACTTCGTGCGCCTGCTGCGCGCCCGCACGCTCTGAGCGAGTCCGGGGGGGTTCGGAGGTTGAGCTCTGGGTGGAGTGCGGTAAAGATAACGCGCTTTTTGAGACAGCCTAGCGCGTTTCAACAACGGCTCCTTTTATGATAATCGGTGGCATTTCCGGCGAGACCACCTACAGTCTAAGGGATAGATTTCACTACTGTAACTGCCTAACTCGGTCACATGATATCTATGGTTTTACCGTTTTCCTCTCTCAACACCCTTTGCGCATCTCGATCCTCCATCCAAAACCCGCCCCCCTCCATGCTCTAATAAGTCCATCACAAAAGAAAGGTCGTTTACAATTTCCGCCGATTAGTTTCAATCTAATCGGTCATTCTATCACACGGAAGAGTCACATTTTTACTAAATACCCCAAAGACTTTAGCTTTTGACTTTGCGCTTGAGTACCTCTCTTAGCGCTCGGCTGTTGGGGGCCCGTACCAGACCGGTACGAGTCCTAGACTAACAAACCGCGGCTGTGGGCCTTAAAACCACAACCTAAGCGATCCAATGATTAGTCAGGCTCCATCCCAATCCAGACTTTCTGAAGGGGTTCAGCCCAGACTCCCACTTCATGTGGGCCAGGACTCATTAAAACCCGGAGCGACTACCGCTTACCAATTCAAGACTAAAATTCCCATTTTAAACATCGGGGAGGTCGGGATATTATCATCCCTTACGGGGGGACATTATGAACACTTGCCTCCGCAAAGTTCTCGTACTGTCTGATGTACCGCCATGTTGCCCCAGCCTTCCGCTAGAAGATTGCAGAATTTACTGGGGAAAAAACGGGAAATCCTTTTATAGAATTTGTTGTTACTAGGTTAAAAAAGGTCTCTCGAGGGAGAGCCGTCCCCGTCTTGCTATATGCTATCTTTGGCTGGAGTTGATGGGGTATGATACCTGAGGTGTTGTGATACCGGAACTCTATGCGCTCGAGTGAACCCGGGGCTTACCCTAGAGGAAGCTATTAAATTATATTCCAACAATTTCTCCAATGATCCATTCACACCACAGGACCGGTTCCGAGGATCTCCATGTAAACTCCCGTTCGTAAGATGCGTTCTGCAACAGCGCCTACACAAGCACTAGTAGCTTCGGTAATGTTCCTGTGTATTCACTAGTAGCTTCGGTAATGTTCCTGTGTATTCACCGGTAGATTGTAAGAATATATCCAAATCTTGCCACATTAAACTCCTTAACTCTTGATATCATGAACTCACGAGTGGTCAATGGTAGATCTATTCTTGCTCGTGGCCAACCGTCAGCCCTGGTAGCCACAAAATAAATAAAATGTTGCGACAACAGGTTTTAGGGCTGTGCTTTGGGGGGATTGACACTACATCATACTGGATTCTAGCATTGGTATATATCTCGGGTAAGGTAGGATAAAAGGGTGGGGGTTGGTGAAGCCTAAAGGAAAGCACTAGATAGTAAAGTAGTGGAAGTGCAATAACAGCAGGCTCAAGCGCAGCGGGGGGGGGGCGTGCAAGGTTAGTGAATTGGGCAGTACTAGTCCCAGGCCATAAGTAACCGAAAACGAGGGGGGTATCGTACAAGGATATTTCCTATGGGCGCTCAGATACGCACGGATATTCTACCATATACTCGAGTACCGGTATTTCTTCAACCCTTGTTTTCGGATACTTATGGCCTGTAACGAGTAGATGCTAGCTAGTGATAGACCCGGAGATAGACATCGCTAAACTGCCACCAACGCCGGAAACCACAGGAACTCCCTAAACTCTAAATAAACACAACATCCTAACAAACCGTGATCCTCAGGGGTCCTCCAAAAATAGGGATCCCCAGATATCCCATGGTGCCTAAAACCAACTACTCTATGCCTAATAGCACAAGACTCCCGCACCACAGTTACTAACCGAAAGTCCAGGCCCCTTTGCCCTGTCGACACTGGGTGTGGGAGCAACGGGACCGCTGCTCTGTGCCCACAAAACCTCATACCCGATAACCGCATATCTCATAACCGCATTACTGATAGACAATCCAACAGGGATCACCCTGAAAAAAAAACCAGCTTTCAGGCCTGCTCAAGAGCAAATCTGATATCATATCATACCTGGCGTAGACTCCTGGGACAACAGGTTTACATAAGAAAACCGGTACCAGCAGCAAAATGCGCCTCAAGCCAGCTAGGCGTTCGGAGATGATGGGATCGAGAAGCCCTGACTAGATATCCTCAGCAGTCGCTGAATATCACTCGGTCTTTCAGTTTGACTGATTTTTTTTCTCGGTTATTGGGGGCTGTCTCGGCCGGGAGAAAGTGTAGTGATAGGGATGTGTCTAAATCCAAGCAAACCTGGCCTTTTTCTGATGACCGCCAATGAAAGAGAAGCACTCCCGATGCGTACAGTATTTGAAGTTGGAAACGGGGTGTCTACCGGGCTCACACATTTCTTTTAAATTTCCGGAAAACGTTTTCCAAAACTCCTAATGGCCCCCTCTAGCGTAAAATGCTATAAATTCAAACCAACCCTCTCCTCAATCCCTTTCGCTTTCAAGCGTTTTTATCTTTAGGGGTTCTTCTTTCCACCCATCTTCACCCTGGGCTAGCCTATTGGAAGGCTTATAACAAAGAACGGGCATGTCCGGATCACCTGCTCCGCAAATATCAAAGTCTCCATAACTACCCTTCAGGCTCCATACGATCCACAAGACTCCCGAAACTTTCATAGCCGATAGTGACATACGTTATATCATCCACGTACAGCCTACGACAGGTTTTGCATGATACATCGGAGGAGCTTGCCACGGCGCTTTCTTCCCGATGTGTACTGTACTAGTGCACCAGCGCATAATAGATCAAAAATTCGATTAGGTTAGAGAGGTATTGCTCCCGGGATCCATACCCCCTCAGCGGTGCTAAGGCCCTCTGAGTATCTACGATTCCCTTGATGGTATACTTCTGGCATCTGTACTTTTAGAAATACTAGCAAGACTTCCAAGTGAAACATTGATCTCCCGTGCATCTGCAAAGGACATTGCCACTTGGTTGAATTTTTAGAGGAACTCGAGTACCTTCGGTAGACACTCCGGATTTTCGCCCGCCTCGGTAGGTAAATCCACTACTACAGTATCTAGAGCATGACCCTCCCTCTATTTCGTGTAGTAACTGTTCGACATTGCAAAATCCGGAGTTTGGAGCCCCCTTTTGGTTTCAGGTATGGTTTTTTTTGGGGGGGGTCAGGGGTTATACCACTTCTACCATATTAGGGGAGGATGGTATTGGTATGCCTGGGCCACAGTATGGTTGAGTTTGGCCTTTCGGTGGATGTGGTTGTGTGGTTTTCAAGTCCCCCAGGGTGGATTTTTGGTTAAAGAAGAGAGGTGGCATAGCTGATACCTGATCGGAACATGAAGGGCATTTTTTCTTCCCCCCTTTTGCACATGTCCTCTAAGTTAGGCTGCGTGGGGTGGTTCTATCATATGTCGAAAGGTAGAGAATTGGCGGATGCGCTCATATTCGAGGAGAGTGCAACACAGGTGCGCCCTCCCCATGCTGGGGAAGAGGGCAAAGGAAATAGCAACATCTTGATTAGTAGGGTAATAACTTTTCACTCGATTATCATAGAAGGCATCTGAACAACACTGGTATATACGGGATCTCTTCGCCAATGTTTGGGCAGATTCCCAGAGGATTTATATCGTAATGCTAAAGCGAGTCAATGCAGAACGAGATCCTGTGAGTCAGGAGATTGAAGAATAAGCTCGTTTCCTTATTGCTAACCTAACCGCCCCACAAGGTTTGGAAGAGGAAAAGCGGAATAACAAAGATCCACCATCAATACATCCAATTTCTACCCTCTCTCATATCCACCAGCAAGCAACAGTTTTTGGGACGCTTGTAGTACACTGCGAAGTGTGAATACCTCCTACGTTCCTTCATCATCTTCAGCAACCTCGGCCCTTTCAGTTTCCAAAAAGCCGTCAAAATATTTGCCGTGTCGAGCCGCCTCGTGGTTTTCTCCTTGCTCGCCCCCCATAGATGTCTTTTTCTCTCTTCTATAGGGCGACTTTTTACTACCGAGATCCCGTTTTCGCTGAGTGAAATCCCGGAGAACAAGTCGGGAGGTTCTTCGTGGCCCCACACGAGACAGACTGAATCATTCCCTCCATACCCCCGGAAAACCTTTGCCAAACGTCCGATGAGTTCATCTTCTCGTAGGCCCTGGATACCGCGAGCATTCAACCTGCTGTAGCCGAAAACCTAAGCCGGGAATAAGCATACCGCAACTTCCAAGTTCATGTTGAGCGGAAAAGCAAACCTCTTGAGACTTCTCCCACAATTTCACATATCCCTGTGGCCTGGGAAAAAAGGTCCCCAAGTTGATAAGACATACAACAATTAAGGTGACGCATCGCCGATCTAAAGCAATCCCTTCGGTGCCCCCTCTCTCTATATTTACAACCATCTCACAGAAGCTCAGACAGACTTTGGCTAGCCATTGTTGGTACCGGAAGCGCTCCAGAACCGAAGGTGACCGGTCCTTTTTTTCCCATCTGTCGAAGTACAAAAGATGCCAGGAATGAGGGATCAGAAACTCATATGGCCGCACCAGGAAGATCTAAACCAATTAGCATCAAATTCCAAGCATGAATTATTTTCTTACCAAAGATAGGGTCAATTCCTCGTAAAGAGAAATGATGGGCGCTGAGTACGAGTTCAATACGTTTTTTGCTCTCCCCAAAGCACCTAGGATGTCGTAGACATTTTCGCACTATGCCAACGTCAGCAAATCAACTATGGGGTTAGTCCTTAGACCAAAAATACAAAATTTCCGGGAAAATCCCCAGCTTCAGTCTCCGACAAGAACCGATGGACTAAGTTTATAATTTCCGAGCCATATTTGAGGCCCAGGTCCCCCCTGTCGATTATTCGAGTGCGCGTTGCGAGGGCTAATCTCCACTGGTAACTATACTCTGCTGCTCGTTAGAATCTAGCTCTTCCGGCCTGTTAAAATGTCGGCACACCACTACACATACCTAAAAATAGTGATGTCTGGTATTGGGACAAAAGCGAAGACATACAAGCCCCTACATCCATTTGAACAGCCGACTCTATCCGATACTCTGCTGTGTCTTTCTCGATCAAAGTTGGGTAGAATGAACGATATCTCCCATTTCGAGTCACGAGATCAGACTTGGTGTTAAACAAAACCTGAGCGCTCTGCTCACACGAGGACCTGAACTCCATTTGCTCCAGAAGAGCTCTTCCCCAAAATCTCCAATCCCCTGCGCCGCATCAGAAACGAGTATTTCTAGGTGGGTCAGAGCGGAATATCTCACAATTCGGCGTCGATAAATTCTTAGGCCGTCTGTTGCCCTTGGTCATTGCAGAAAATCCCGAAAATATTCGGCAAAGGCGTGCCAGTAACTAGGAAGCTATAAGTGGGTGGTCTGAGCACAGAATTTCAACGGACAGAACCTACCTCTAATTTTTTCAAATGGGTTTCCCCTTGGGTTATGTGTCAGTAAGGTACTACACTCAAGGAAGCTGGAATTTCCGGGAGAGTTCCTACATAGCGTCGGCGGGGATGCGGATTGGCTTTTACTCCATATATCCCTCGATCCCTCATCCAGGGAAATAAGAGGAGGAACGATATCCCCTAAAATATTCCCCAACATCCTTTCCCACAGGGATCCAACATCCTCCGGCCTAAATAGAAGCCGTGGTTTAGAATCGTCACGGAGTGGGGACCAATTTAGGACGATGTATTTGCCTGGTCGGCGAAGCGTCTCGTAGATCCCGCAGTAGAGTAGTGCTGAAGATGGTATTGTCCCATGCGTAAAGTTCTCACTCAAATCTTCGAGCACGCGCTCGATCTGATCAAGCGGAAGCCGGAATTTGCTGTCCGGGTATGTGCTCCTGATTACCTATAGGGGAGTTAGGGGTGGGCACTACATAAACATCTTAGAGGAGCAAACCAGAATATCCACATATCCGGCAATCTGCGCATCACTAAGCTTTCCCGTCTCTACACTCGCCTTATACCAATCAGAGCTATCGAGCGCTTGATTGATAACTTCCCACCTTTCGACAAACGAGTTGATCTGCCAGCTCCCTCTCTTGCTGGCTGTGCATAGCACTTTATGGATCCGCCCGCCTTCTCCGGTTCTTGGCCAAGGATTGGTTGCTATATGCTCTGCTTGCAGAAACTTACACACCATGTGCAACTGTTCCTTATGTCCCCAATTTGGATTTTTTAACAAAATTTGGTCACTAAGCAACTGAACCGAGTTCTCCAGGAGCCCAGAACTGATTCCAACCTCGTAAGCCTCCATGTATCTCCTGTTAATGCTGAGAAAGTCGAAAAGTTTGTTCATCAGATGAAATCTGGAGAAAGCAATTTCTTGCTCCTTTGGAGATCCAGTAAAATTAAGCACTCTTTTTCCAAACTCGTCGGGAGGTGTATCGCTCCCCCCAAATTCCTTTAAGTAGTAGAGGTGTATATACTGTTTCCAGCAACAAGGCTCAATCTCTGACTTAAACCTGTTCCCAGCGGTTAGCTAAAACCAATACACTGCTTTGGGTTCCTGGGTTAAACAAGAAAAGGAGATCTGGTATAAACTTTTTAAGATAATTGAGCATCCATTTGGATTGTTTCCCACGAGCATATCCCGCGAGCGCCTTCTCATGTTTGTGAAGTTTGGTGTATATCTCGCTTGTTTCTGCAAACAAGCCAACCTCTGCTCCAAGCCAGGCAGCATCTTCATATGCTCCATTATCCGCAAGAATCCCTGAATCTTTTAAGCATTTAAGATTTAAATCATCCCTTGGGATTTACTCACTAACTGCACCCTTTAGATCTCCCCCTGCCTTTCGGCATTGAACTGCCTTCGCGATGCTACCGACTTGTAGGAAAAGGTCTGATGCCTGTATGAAATGCAGATTTGCCACTTGAGAGAACCCACGATCTCTGGCGGTGAGTCCTTCTTCTTCAGTAATATACGCATTGGTCAATGTAATGCCATCTGGATCCTCAGCACACTTAAAACAGCGGAGAGCCTAGAAGAGAGCTAATCAGCATTCTTTTTTTTTTTGAAAACACAACACAAGCCACCAACAAACCTCAGGATATTGTTGGTCGTCAATCATTTGATGTCCCATTTCCCTCCACCGGGAACTATTGATCGTCGTTCCGTTAGACAACCGCTTCTGCAGCTGCGAAATCTAGGGATGTCAGATTTGATAACCTAGTGGGGTTCAGGACATACCCCTATATCCCGTTCCGTTAAGATCTCTAGCAGTGACTGGCCCCCTGTTGGATTGAACAGGCGTTGCATTGGTTGTAAGACACGTCTGTTGCTTTCCAATATCCATAGTCTGTTTCGAGCTCTCGTCACTCCAACATATAAGTGCTTTGCGCCCCCGTAGAATTAGCGAGTGGGTCAAATCTGAATTAAGGAGCTAACTACTGCCAAACTACCTTCAATTCTGAGAAGAGGACCTGTGACGCGGTTAGCCTCTCTTCCGCGATATAAATCATTAGTTACCTACGTTGTCTTGATATTCAAGCTTCTGAATATCTTCTAGGATCTCTAATCTATGGCTGTACGCGCTACTACTAAGGAAATCATAGAGTAAAACATCCTCGAACTCCATGCCCTTACTCTGGAGAATAGTTAATACGAATGAAGACCTTCCGAGCTCGGTTCGAAGCTTGTCCCGTGTTTCTTCATCTCGAACCAAAATAACACGCACTTCTCCATATTCAGTGGACCTGCCGTTCTGGGAATCCGAGTTCCGGGCGTTTTCCACGTTATCTTCGGACCTCAGTATATCTGTAATGTTGTCTCCAACTTTAAAAATCAATACATAGGGTAGCTACCGGTAAGTTTATGGAGGAGGTTACCATAAAGTATGGGCTTAGGACCGAGAATATCCCCAATTTCAGGAGGTAAATCATCTACCAAGCCCGGAAAGCCTAAGCCGCTTCATAAGCATAACGCAAGGCAGTGAGGTTTGTCAGGAAGCGGCGTACCTCTATACAAGAGGTCCATCACTAAGGAGGCCACTCTCAGAATCTGTTTATGCGATCTAAAGTTGTGCAATAATGGGAACCGTTTTGGCTTTATCTCTTCATACTTCCATGCGCTGTCCATGAAGCGTTCATGAAACAAGGAAATCGCATGTGGAAACTGGAAAAGGGCGTCCTTAGATATACACTGGGCAGTATCTCCCGCTGCTCACGGGTGAGAACTCAGAGTCAAGAGAAAAAGGGAAAAAATAGAGAGAACCATACCAAAATGAACAGCCCAAGGATGGCCCACTAGAGTCAAAAGCATTCTCATATCTGACGTTCGCTGATCCTGGATCTCTGTATTCTTTTTAATACCCCCCAAAGCTAGGATTTTTTTTTTCGGTAGATAATGCTCACCATCCACATATATTTCGTCTAGCATGCTCCGAATATTCTGTTCGAACACAATGTCCTCGGATTCCCCGGAGGATTTGAATGCTTCCAAAGTCTTCATAACCTTTAGAACCCTATCCACCTGATCAATGTCGCCACGCTCCTTCTTGGCGAGTTCATACCATTCGTACATGTCATAGACAGCGCCCATCTCTCCTGCCGGAATAAGACTTAGAGATGTTTTCCAGCGCCTCCGTAAGTATTCCCCCCGAGAGAAGGGCTCGAAGTCTGTGGCTGGCGAAGCTGATCCCTTGATGGATCCCATGATTTCAAGAAATACTGAATCTACCGGAATGCCACTCTTTAACCTACGGCTCAGGAGTCCCCAGTACCCGATGTTAAACCTTCTGAAGTCAACTACACCGGTGCATTTAGAGTTGTTAATCTTCATGTATCGTCCCCGGTTTTCCTGTTCTCTAAGAGTCGCTTAGTAAGTCACCATATAGTACAGTAATAGCTTTCCAAAGTGGGGCAACAAACCTAATACTATTCTCAATAAGTCTTAACAAGTAATCAAAGGTGCATACAAGGGGGAAATCCGCATTAGTGAGTGATAAGAATTGCTTTCTTGTGTTGTCATCGAAATCGTCTTTGGCGCAACTACCCTCAGTTGGCCTTTCCTTTTCGCCCAATTTCGCCTCAAGCAGTCCGCGAGTGTTGGCTCTCAACTTCTCCACCAATCTCTTTGACTTTGTTAACAAGACCTATATTGTTAGCTTAGCCGACGTGACACCCTCCAGGCATGATCCAATCCTAGACTTCATGCAAACACATACTTGTCTCAATGGTTCGTCCCTCTCCGATCTAGATAATAAATATCTCCCTACTAGCTTATAAACCAAGCAGGTAGTTTTTCCTGTCCCACTTCTCCCGAGAATAAACTTTGGGGGTAAATAGTGATCCACTACCTCGGCCTCCTCTGCCGATATGGCTATTGGGTATGCGACCTTTTTAGTTATAGAAGTAATGGTATCCAGAACAGTCGTAGTGAGGCTATAAAATTTCGCTATTAACCGTGAATTTAGCACCCCTATGCGGGAATAGTTTATGTGGGACTCTTTTGAATTCTTTACCTAGCTGCACTGAATCATCGAAATTCTCATCGCTAGTACCATCAACCCCTATATCATTACTTCCTTCATCATCCAAGCATGCCCTCGCTGGATACCTGATCTCCCGTGACTCATCCAAATCATCCCTGTTGCAAGCCCTGACTCGAGCCCTCGTATAAACTTGCTGAGTCCGATGAATCTGCACAGCAATATTACCGAGCTGTCGGAACTTAGCATCAACCATATCTACATCGTCCCGGGGCCAAATACGCACATCGCTGTGTTTTCCGATAGTCCATACTAAACCGTAGTCACCTTTCGTTAGTTCTCTTCCTATGAGGCTAATTTCACAAGGGCTCAGACCTTTTATAACCTGGTAATCTTCCTCAAACCTTTCATCAAAAGCGAGATCAATTTGCCATAATATAGAATGCCCGGTTTTGTAGAAAGCTTTGAATAAAGGGATTCGATAGCTGAGCGAGTTGCGCCACTTTGCCTTATGCAGTATTTTTTTTCCCCCCCAGTCCCCGGAGGCAAGCTCTCTGAGCTTGCGCTGAATGCTCTCAAAGTTGTCTATCTAACATCAGCAATTTTCCAAACCTTTGGTTCCGTGGAACGAGTACCTCGAGCGCCCCCGGTTTCCAAATTCTCAAGTGCATGTTGGGAAAGAATGACCTTCCATGGCCCCAGAGGTTCGCCTAAGACCTGTTTAAAGACATCCGACTCCGTGTCCAATCCGAAATAGTAGTCCCGAGATCGCGTATGTTCTCCCTCAGGGCCCCGGCCGGGTCCGGAATCAAAAGAAATGCTAGAAGTACAGAATTTGCAAGGAACAGTGCGAATAAATTTCGCCAACTCCACGCCACTGGTTCTCCTAGGCCCTGACCCGTGAACTTCACATCCTTTGTAGAGATCCATAATAAATTTAACCCACTGCTCCCCGGCCTGGGGTTCGCAAACAAGATTTTCAAAGCACTGATTGTCTTTTTGCGCCAGCTTTTGTATATGCCCCTCCGAAATCAAAACCCGCAATATCCCCGGGAGAGCTCCTAGTCTCACACCAAAATTGCCTAGAGTCCTCGGATGCGATAATTTTACCACCGAGATGACAATGTTTGCGGCCGCCTTCCTAGATTTCATGTCATCGAACCTTTCGGCGAGTAATGAGAGGGTAAATGCTTGAATCGTTTCCCGTAATAAAGATGAAATGTAATCATCTTTCTGGAAGCTAGGAACCTCGTTTAACAGGTTGGCAAGATTATCTCCATAAATCTCTATTCGTGAGAAGAAATTTGTAAAAAGTTCTTCCCTCAAGAGGATATCGAAGATCTGGTAGGGTTTGGACTCCAGTGATGCGTATGCGGCTCTGAAAAAACGCTTGGGATTTTCTGAAAACACGAACTCAAAGAATCCAGTGCTTGAATCCATCGCTTGCTAGATTAGGTTTGCTAAACGACCACCAGGGGAAGGGACCTGTGTGCGGGCAGTTAGGAGCAAAGGTACTCTACGAGGAAAATGGATCTCCTAGTCACCCCGCCATTCTATCCCCCTGTTCCGGTTGGCTTACTCAAAAATGGTCTTAAGGCCCCCCATTTTTTCTTTTTTTTACCAGTTCTCTCGACCACATCCCCTCGCGTAGGCGACAGTGACACTAACCAAAACGTGTTTTGTGCTATCACACGTGATATACCAATACCCAATAAGAGAGCACAGCCCCCACAGCCGACAGGTGCAGTTCTCGGGCAGTCAGTAATTAAAATCAGGATCACATTTCTCCTACCGGTACCGGGTAATCGCACGCGTTTTTCTTGGACAGGGTTAGGTTTTCCGATTTTTACGGACCCCGAACACAGCAAAATCGGCTAACACAGAGAAGCCCTTAAGACCCGATAAAACTATCGTAGAATTTCTGCACGCTGACAAGTTTGCTCGGTGATGGAGGCTTTACCCTTGGCACGGCTACTGGTGTGGCAACTCTGTAAACCGGCTTACGAAACTCTCCATTACGATACTATGATGAAGCAGACACATTCATCAATTGGGGGTACTCATTCAGGAAGATGGTGCCGACGGATGGTAGCTGATGAAATTGAGTATGGGGCAAGGGAAACCCATTCTCGAATGGATTCCGGTGGAATGCAGACAATTCCCAACAGCGTATTGCCTATCAGACCACTCCGCATCCCACACCGTAAGTGTTGCCTTTGTTTCCATATTGGTAGCATTTACTGTATATTTTTATAGCCAAATTATGTGCAGAAAATCTGGTGTTTATGTGGGGCATGTCGTGTATGACTGCGGTGTTTTGGCTGCTGTGATAGGCACAGTACATGTTCCACGATATCCCCTCCAAAGCTTATGCGCCTGCTGCGGGACCGAATGCTCTGTTCCCCCGCCCCACAGTCGGCAGAAAAGTGCCCCTCTCTTAGCAACTCCGCAGAGCAGGTGTGTTCAAACATTAGCGCCGTGCAACTATGTACCATGCTATGCAGTAAATGATTCTTCCGGGGAGATGCCCCCGTAAGTCATATTCAGAACAGCATTCGCTCTAGGCGAGTGGGGAGAGGTTCGGAGGTCGGGCCTCGGGTGCGGCGCAGCAGATAACGCGCTTGATAAGACAATTTAGCACGTTTCGACAACACCTCCTTTTAATCAGCAGCCTTTCCGGCGTGGCTACCTACTTGTACAATCTACGGAGTAAGGGATGGATTTAGCTATCACAACTTCATAATGTACCGGTAGTCACATTATATCACTCGTTTACCGTTTTTTCTCTCAATACGGTACCCTTTGTACATCTCGATCCCCAATCCAAAATCTGCCCGCCTCTATGCTCGAATAACTCCATCGAAAAGGAAAGGTTGTTCACAATTTCCGCCGATTACGGTAGTTGAATCTAATTGGTCGGTCTACCACACAGAAGAGTTACATTTTTTCCAAATATCATATTATCACGAAGTCTTTAGGGTTTGACTTTGTTCTTGAGCACCGCCATTTGCGCTCGGCTATTGGGGTCCTTCATACCGGTGCGAGTCCTTGGCTAACAAGCCGCAGCCGTAACTTCAGCGCTGTTGACCTTAAAACCGCAACCTCCGTAGGCGATCCGATGGATTAGTCAGGTTTCATCCCAATCCAGAGTCCCCGAAAGTGTTCTACTAGGCAATGTTGCGACGAAGGCCTTGGCGGGATCAAGGGGGGTTTACCAAATAACGTCTGAAGGGAGGGTTCGCCAGGCTGACTTTCTTGATGTTTACCACTTCTTTCGGCACTATCAGAGTTTTTTGAAGGTGATGGTATTGATGAAGGCATGAAGGCAGAAGTGTCGAGGGCAACCGAAGGATATATTCTGAACTAGTTTTCTTTATTTACCTTTTTCTCTTTAGCTCTCTCACTTGGGCTGTATAATATTACAGTCTTGATTCAGTTATTGTAGCAGATTTTTATAGATTTTATAACCCCCTTAAGACCTTCGAAGGGGGGGGTTCATAAATGTGAGCTCCAAAGCCTTCGTTGATTTTTATCACTAACCCCCACCTTAATGTCAACACTGCTACCGGGTCCCCACTTCATATGGGACAGAACTCACCAAAACCCAAAACGGCTGCAACCTACCAATTCAAGGCTAAAATTGCCGTTGTGAACATCGGGAGGTCGGAACATTACCATCAATAGAGGTCGCTTAGTAACCATACGGAGGCCAAAACACACCAAAGATGAAGGGTTCCGTGTTATCATTATGATACCCAACCACTATTTTCCGGAAACGATATAGAAAAAATTCAAAAAGTAATTTTCTACAATGGCACCTACGTGAAAAGAGTTGGGATTTTTCCCTTCAATTTTCGTAGAGCGGCGAAGTCTGGAATGTCCCTTCTCTCATGGTAAAGTACCTCCGCAAAAGTGTCGGTGAAATGGGCTTTTTACACCAAAAACATTGATTTTTTGCCACTGGTAGTTCAGGAACCACAAAAGATTTTACAACCTGGCTTCTGGTATGTAGTTACAATAATCCCACCCCACTCCTACCCAACTCTGAATAACTTTGGGGAAGAATTGGAGAAGTTATGCGGTCCTAAAGTTTTGACTTCACTGAAAAGCTTCACTTTACATACAAAAATGGCATAGCAACGGGTATTGTCAACTTTGGAGACTAGTAGTTTAGCCCCATAGAATAAATTGATAAAATAAATGGTGTCGGGTAAAGCTGCAGTGAAGATGAAAATAATTATATAGGTTGTGAGGATTATTTGAAGCAATTCCAGGTGTGGGGGTTGATCAAACCTGCCAATTTTTGGTGTAAAAAGGTCATTTCACCAACACTTTTGCGGAGGTACTTTATGATATGATAAAAAAGAAAAATACAACAAGCCCTTACCATGGGAAGCAACTCCAATGCTCTAGTTTGAGGTTCAGTTTCTCCGGATCTTACGGGACGGGTTTGATTCATGCTTACTGCTGGTGGCGGATTTGCGGG